TAAATCAGCTAGACGGGGTTATTTTGAAAGTATCGGAGCAAGATAGAATGCAGGAACTTTCCCTTACCACTGGAATTTAGAAGTTTGCTCACAAACTACTCGGCACGGATAGTTTATGAACAAACTACCCGTGCTGGGTAGTAGTAGCAATAATAGTAGTATTAAAATACATATAATGGTACGAGTATGTAAGTAGTATATAATAACAGTAAATAGGTGATATCACAATATGAAAATTACCGCAGTGAAAAGGAAATAAGTGAAATTCCAAGCGCTTTCGTGATTTCCCACATTATCTCACATTGGCGTCAGAAATCACAAAAGTATTTTAAATTTTGCTATTTTTTACACTACGGTAATTTTGGTGGTAGTGGTTGTGGGTGGTGGCAGTGGTTGTGGGTGGTGGCAGTGGTTGTGGGTGGTGGCAGTGGTTGTGGGTGGTGGCAGTGGTTGTGGGTGGTGGCAGTGGTTGTGGGTGGTGGCAGTGGTTACGAAGGGTGGCAGTGGTTGGGTAGTGTTGGTGGCGACTGCAGCAGTAGTAGTAGTAATAGTTCTACAATAATATAATCAATTTAAGTGCTGTACCCATATGAGTCATAGTGCTGCGGGTAGAGATGTGCGAAAGGTTATATGAGTGAGCAAGAGTGTGCGAGGGCAAGGGTTAGTGGAGGTGGGTGTTGGTACAAGAGTAAAATTTAAATTATGGTTGGTGCAATAGGTTAATTTCCATTAAAAAGTCATGAAGAGGAAGTTATTGAGAGTTAGTGTGTGTTAAGGGGAGTTGTAGGTGTTAGAAATGAGTCTTGCATTTCCGCTGAAAGACTGGTCAATCTATTAAGATGTGGTGGACTGGCAGTGCTACCTGACAGTCCTCGCAGAATGGTGTTGTTGCTCTACGTGGTTTCTACGAGTCGCGTGTACCAGCTACGTGAGTGTGCTATTCCCCAAGCCCCAGAATGGTGGTATGATGATGGCCCGAATCCTAAACGTGGTTTGATAGAAAACAATTTGTTGTGGTCCAACTCGGACAAGCGTTGTTGCCAACAGTTGCAGAATTGTTGGAAGATCACTAAATAATAGTCCGAGATAGGAAATCTCCCGTTGTGAAAAACTGTGAGGTCGTGAGTACCTGACGAAGCACCTGAGTCTGCTTGTTCATTGCCCTGATTATCAACGTTTTCACGAACCTAGACAAAAAGAAAAAAAGACTTCTTTGTATTTACTAGAAATGCGACAAAACTAATGATGTATACGAAGGAAGACAGGATAAGTGGAGTCGAATTACTGGACAACCTGTTACTCACTTTCGGAGTCCAGAACACTACGACTGACGAAGCGGACATGGACACAATGTGTACAAGTGAGACCTGCATGTAATTATACAATCAGAATTCTGGCCGACTCTGGTAAATGAAATTTGATTATTTTCTTCAGAAATGTTAGTAAAATCAAATTAGGCGTTAAACCCGCCAGGGTCATAAAGCTCTGTAGGAAGTGGTGGAGGCTCGAGTCTCCGTCTACTAAAAGCCGAAGAAAAGCGACCTAAACGAGCAAAACTTGCCCGTTTTCTCCGGAAAGAACAATGTATATCCGACACTACCAAGAGATTTAGAACCATCAGCGTACATTGCTACAGCATGATAATGAGTGTTCTGGTTATAATAGGCAGGTGAGCGTAAAAATTCTAGAAGTCCAACCTTATCTTCACCCTACAACTTCTCCCATACTGTCATGCCAGCAGTGTTCCTGCCAGTAGTCGAGAGCGCTAACACAGCCTTCTGCTATACTAAGCCGATATCATATATCTATATATTAAAAACAGGCAGGAAGGCTGGAGTGTATCCTCAGCAGATAACCTCGATGTTAACCTTAAAATCTTTTGTTATTATTCTTCATGTATTCCCCTTTCCTCCACTCATCCCCCTCAGGGAAGGTTCCTTGATGTTGGTAAGGGGCTCTTGATTTAGGGAATTGGATCTGTGCTCCAGTTCCCCGAATTAAGCCTGAATGCCTTCCACATCCCCTCCCAGGCGCTGTATAATCCTACGGGTTTAGTGCTTCCCCTTTGATTATAATAATAATAATAATAATCCTCCACTCATCTTCCCCACTTCCCCTCCCTACCATTATTTTTCTCTCTCGTCTGGTCGGAAAAAAAAACAAGAAAATAACATTTATTGCACAATAAATAGTTACAACAATAGAGAAACACACTGACAAAAATATAACATCCTGTTAAAAGCATAAAAGCTTGTAAAAAAAAGCCACGACAACTTGTTCACGCCACATGAGAATGTTAAAAATAGGATAGGAAACTACGACCACAACACCCTGCTGCAGATATTTACAAAAACGTTTACTAAGGAGTTGCGTCTGTCAGTCTGTCGCTCTCTAAAATTAAGAAACTAACCCCACACGCACACAAAACTCACATACGTTACACAGAACAGGCTAAGCGTCTATCGACTAGGGAGAGTGACCCAGTAGTGGCCAGTGAAGAGGCGGGTCGAGGAGCTGTGACTCGACCCCTGCAACCACAACTAGGTGAGTAACTAGGTGAGTACAAACACACACACACACAGGTATTAATAGAAAGTGAGATTGATAGTTTACATAAATATAACAGAAAAATCCAATGCTTATATAAATGTACTATAAAATATATATATAAGTATGTGCATATATAAATCAGTATGAATATATATTAAAAATAATAAGCAAATTATATATATATATATATATATATATATATATATATATATATATATATATATTATATATATATATATATATATATATATTTCGTGCTGAATAGGTAAAATTGGTCAATTAGCAAGAACTCATTTAAAATTAAGTCCTCTCTAATTTAAAAATTAATAATTTTGTATCAAAGGAATCTTAGAAAACTTACCTAACCTCATTATAACAAGCGCAATTTAATTTAACCTAATCCAGTTAAATATATTTTAGAAAAGTTTACAGTAATTTAATAACAAACACAATGAAATACTTTTTTTTCGTTAGGTTCAGAATGATTTTTGCGATATTATTGTAAACACAAATTTTCACTTGCCGTATTCAGCAAGAAGATCGTTGCTATTTAATCCAAAATCACAAGTTTTACCTATTCGGCACGAATGATGATGTATGCTATTTACTCACCCTTATTACGAGAGATGCTGTGACACCAAGACCAATACTGAGGAGAGATATCTCACCTGTAACAAGAAAGAGAGAGCGAGAGAAGTTAGATCGTTATCTGGACTTCAACTCGTAATGAAAGAGGTATTATGCGACTCCTGAAGAACACTGTTAAGAAAGCTTATCTCGTTCCAAGAAATCGTCTGTAGCAAAAGCAGTAGCAACATCAGTAGCAATAACAGCAGTAGTAGTAGAAGAGAACTGATGTAAGCAATTTAAGGAAAGACTATTTTCGAGTGTGGTCGCTCCTGAGAGAAACGTTGCTCTACGTCTCGCTTGTCTACACCCATTGGTCGCCTTGTTGGCCCAGTCTCCAACCTGCGCAGGAGCGAACAAAATACAAAATAATCTTAAATCTCTGAAGGAGAGTTCGAGGCAACTTCACCAACTTGCACAACATGAGTGAATTTCCAATATTTTCGAGAAGACAAACATTTTCAAGCTAGAAAATAATCAAAATCTGTGGCTGAAACAATTCATAGAAAAAAAAGGCCCTAGGAGAGGAGCTATATGACGACATTTCGATTCATTCTGGACCATTATTAAAAAATCAAAATTCTTCTCCTAAATGATGTTTTCTTTCGTGACTTTTAAGGCCACCCACAACTAATAGAGTTCAAAATCTCTCAAGAAAAAAGCAACCATATATGGAAAAATAAAGTCACAATACCGTGACTGGAACAATACACAAATAACCCGCACATAGGAGACAAACTTATGACGACGTTTCGGTCCCACTTGAACCATTAAGAATTAACTATGTGAATGTGTGAAGGACCATTAACAAGTGTGACTTGTTAATGGTCCAAGTCAGACCGAAATGTCGTCATATGATTCAATCTCCTAAGGGCAAATTATTCGTATATACTTTGATGAGTTCCGAGCTTTTCTACTTCCGGAGCACGGCTATGGGCTAGACTCGTCTGGTGCTTGCCTGGTCAACCAGCCAGTTACTGTTGGTGGCCGGCAGCCCCACATCCATCCCATTCTGGTTAATCTGACACCTAATGAAGATAAATGTCCAGTTCCCTCATGAAGACTTCTACACTTGTCACAGCAGTGTTTCTGATATCCTCTGGTAAAAAGTTATCAGAATTCACGATATATTAACAAAATATTATTTATTTCCACCATTTTCATATTTTCTACCTCTTTTCATAGCTCAAATAAAGACAAAAAGAAAAAACTCAGTATCTATCCTCCAAACGTGAAGAAAGGCATTCCCTGGTCAGCAGTCCGTCCATTGGTCTGTGTCCAGTGCTCCGTGACGGTAGATTTTATTCTGATTACTAACCCGGAGGGTTAGTGACTCAGCATAGCGCAAGAAAGCCACTCAGGGTGGCTTACTGGAAACAAAACACGCAGAGAAAATATGCAGGAAAATGTACAGAAAGAGAACCTTCACATATGCACATAGTTATCTCTAGTGGGTCTTTCCATCCTCCTCCTAAGAATGCCACCCATATAAGTTAGCTAAGAACCAGGTACCTACTAACTGCTCAGTTAAAAAGACTCAATCGGTGTAAGACAAAAGTCTCCATCCACCCTTGGATCGAACCAAGGGTCCGTCGGTTGCAAGTCCAAGGCATCTACCATCCGAGCCAGGAAAATATTTCAACCTCCACCCCCCCCCCCCACAAACCCTCAACCAATGAGTAAAAAAGTAAACCAATCATCCGAGGGAATACCTTGCGCTTATTGGCGAACGAAGGAGACTTTGACGGATCAAAGCGACGGTGGGATGAGAAGGAAGATATCGGAGCCTCCTGGGCATGAGGAATCTTAGGAGGAAGAATGGGGGGAGGGGAAATAGGAATGGAAAATAGGGAGGAGGGGAAATAGGAATATCTTCAGGGAAGGGACAAATGGGGAGGAATATCCTCGGGGAGGGACAGATCGGGAGGAATATCCTCGGGGAGGGACAGATGGGAAGGAATATCCTCGGGGAGGGACAGATGGGGAGGAATATCCTCGGGGAGGGAAAGATGGGGAGGAATATCCTCGGGGAGGGACAGATGGGGAGGAATATCCTCGGGGAGGGACAGATGGGGAGGAATATCCTCGGGGAGGAACAAATGGTGAGGAATATCCTCATGGATGGACAAATGGGCATGAATATCCTCAAGTAAATATAGGAGGAATATCTTCAGGTGAGGAAAAATTGGGAGGAATATCCTCAGGTGAAAGAAACTGGGGAGGAATATTCTTGGGGAGAGAGAAATGGGCCGTAATATCTTCAGGGGAGGGGTAAATGAGGAGGAATATCAAGTAAGGAAGAGTCGGAAGAAATATCCTCAGGTGAGGGGAAATGGAGAAGAATACTCTCGGGTGACTGAAGGGAAGTAGAAAGAAATATCCCCGGATAAATGAGGGGAGATCAGGAATATCCTCGTGAATGTGTGGGAAATGGAGGGGAATATTCTCAGGTGAGTAAGGGGAAACGAGAGAAAGTGATGGGTGAAGGTAGAGTGAGGACAGTCTGGACTGAAGAAGAGAGAGAGAGAGAGAGAGAGAGAGAGAGAGAGAGAGAGAGAGGAGAGCAAGCAGAGGGGTTCGTGACGGAGGTACGAGGGAAGTGTTGTCATGGCGACGGACGGTGACACAGCAGCCACTGAAAACGGGTCACATGAATAAAAAGTAAAGATAATGAGAGAGAGAGAGAGAGACAGCGCATTCGGATGCAAGATGTAAGGAAGCAGAATGAGAAGAAGAATGAATAAGAACACAGAGGGAGAGTAGACGGATCTGTTAGAACACACACACATACTCAACAAAGCCCCGATACAACATTCGTAAGGAGGTACAAAACCCGTAATGATAATACAGCACCTGCGTAATTTGAGGTATCTGGTTTGCTCAGGAGCGGGAAAATAGTAGTTCCAGATCCATGGACAAGGAGCCTTTCGCCAGTATTAAGGCAACACATTTGAAGGAGATGTGATGTTACCTCATTTACCAAGAAATCACCTGGCAAAGGTCTTCCTACACAGTGTCATCAATATTAACAGAACGTGTTCAGTGTGTTCATCATTAACAGAACGTGTTCAGTGTGTTCACCATTATTAACAGGAAGTATTCAGTGTGTTCACCATTATTAACAGGAAGTATTCAGTGTGTTCACCATTATTAACAGAAGATATTCATTGTGTTCATTATTATTAACGATTCACGAATGCAAATGAAATATTCAGTCAACAAGTTGTATATCGAAGTGTACCCCTGCTGAGCCTTGGGACGCTACTGTGTGCTGACCCACTGTAAGTGTACCCCTGCTGAGCCCCGGGACGCTACTGTGTACTACCCACTGTAAGTGTACCATTGCTGAGTCCCGGGACGCTACTGTGTGCTACCCACTGTAAGTGTACCAATGCTGAGCCCCGGGACGCTACTGTGTGCTACCCACTGTAAGTGTACCATTGCTGAGCCCCAGGACGCTACTGTGTGCTACCCACTGTAAGTGTACCATTGCTGAGAACCGGGACGCTACTGTGTGCTACCCACTGTAAGTGTATCACTGCTGAGCCCCGGGACGCTACTCTGTGCTACCCACTGTAAGTGTACCATTGCTGAGCCCTGGGACGCTAGTGTGTGCTACCCACTGTAAGTGTACCCCTGCTGAGCCCCGGGACGCTACTGTGTGCTACCCACTGTAAGTGTACCACTGCTGATCTCCGGGACGCTACTGTGTGCTACCCACTGTAAGTATTCCATTGCTGAGCCCCGGGACGCTACTGTGTGGTACCCACTGTAAGTGTACCATTGCTGAGCCCCGGGACGCTGTGTGCTACCCACTGTAAGTATACGATTGCTGAGCCCCGGGACGCTACTGTGTGCTACCCACTGTAGGTGTACCACTGCTGATCTCCGGGACGCTACTGTGTGCTACTCACTGTAAGTATACCATTGCTGAGCCCCGGGACGCTACTGTGTGCTACCCACTGTAAGTGTACCATTGCTGAGCCCCGGGACGCTACTGTGTGCTACCCACTGTAAGTATACCACTGCTGAGTCCCGGGACGCTACCGTGTGCTACCCACTGTAAGTAAAAACCTTTGCTGAGCCCCGGGACGTTTACTGTGTGGTACCCACTGTAAGTGTACCACTGCTGAGTCCCGGGACGCTACCGTGTGCTACCCACTGTAAGTATACCATTGCTGAGCCCCGGGACGCTACTGTGTGGTACCCACTGTAAGTATACCATTGCTGAGCCCCGGGACGCTACTGTGTGCTGAACCACTGTAAGTATAGCATTGCTGAGCCCCGGGACGCTACTGTGTGCTGAACCACTGTAAGTGTACCATTGCTGAGTCCCGGGACGCTACTGTGTGCTGAACCACTGTAAGTGAACTATTGCTGAGCCCCGGGGAAACCTACTGTGTGCTGAACCACTGTAAGTGTACCTTTTGCTGGGGTCCCGGGACGCTACTGTGTGCTGAACCACTGTAAGTGTACCATTGCTGAGTCCCGGGACGCTACTGTGTGCTGAACCACTGTAAGTGTACCATTGCTGAGTCCCGGGACGCTACTGTGTGCTGACCCACTGTAAGTGTACCAATCCTGAGCCCCAGGACGCTACTGTGTGCTACCCACTGTAAGTGTACCATTGCTGAGCCCCGGGACGCTACTGTGTGCTACCCACTGTAAGTGTACCATTGCTGAGTCCCGGGACGCTACTGTGTGCTGAACCACTGTAAGTGTACCATTGCTGAGTCCCGGGACGCTACTGTGTGCTGAACCACTGTAAGTGTACCATTGCTGAGTCCCGGGACGCTATTTGTGTGCTGAACCACTGTAAGAGAAACCATTGCTGAGCCCCGGGACGCTACTGGGGTGCGAACCACTGTAAGTGTACCATTGCTGAGTCCCGGGACGCTACTGTGTGCTGAACCACTGTAAGTGTACCATTGCTGAGTCCCGGGACGCTACTGTGTGCTGAACCACTGTAAGTGTACCATTGCTGATCCCGGGACGTACTGTTGCTGAACCACTGTAAGTGTACCATTGCTGAGTCCCGGGA